ATGGATTTTTAAATCACCAGAAGGCCATTTATTAAATCAGTAATTGAAATAAAAACAAAAACAATATCTTAAAGAATTTCTTAGGACTAAATACCAATTATGTAAGAGAGGAGATAAGTTGTGAAACAGAAGCTTTTCAGTATAAGGAAGCTGAATAACACTAGAAAATTATGACATTAGAAAATATGGCAATTGTAGCAATTATACTGTATATTATAACCAAGCAGCTAGATTGTAATGATAAAAGATACTCTGAGACAAGGAATACACTAACTATTCCTATTTTGAAAATGTAGAATATATATCCCATGAATTAATAATGCATTACATAATATGTGGAATATTTCCTATTGTCCTCTATTTTTGGCCAGTCAACTTAATTGAATGAACCCTAATTCTAGTATTAGGTGACATCAAGGAAATGATTTTTTGCCATCCTTTTGCTAGACCATGGATACTTTTAAATTTTAGCCCACATCCTGATCTCTGGGATGAAATTTACCTTTATTATAGCTATCTCTCATTTGGTTGAGGTTTTAATTAATTACCACATTATCCCTTAGATTCCATACCAGTTCAGTCACTTTCACTGTTTGTAAATGCATTTGGTAGAAATTATTGAAAAAACATTTATATTTTTATATTATATTTTAGAGCTCCATGCTATTTGTGTGGAATTTCAGTCTTAAATATTCTGGGATTACCTGTATCACGACAAATTCACTGTACACTACTAACTTTGATTTAAGCATGAAAAAGTTAGCAATCATTGCTTCTGATACAGAATTTGGGAGAACATTGTTTACATTCCATTATAAATGGCTTGTCCCATTTATTTATTTATTTTATTTATACATCACGTGTATATAGCTGCCCATCTCACAAAGCGACTCTGAGTGGTGAACAACAATTAAAATAACAAGTGAATAAAAACAGGCATTATAAAAAGATTAAAAGTTATAGAATAAAAACATCACAACTTAAAAAAAAATTTTTTTTAATTAAAATATACAAACCCCACGGAGAGAGCAGAATATCAATTACAGTGGAGCCATCTAAGAA